GCAAAGCAGGGTCTTCAGGGAACTTGGTGACTCTGATTGCCACCACAGCCCAGCTGATGACCCTAAGTCTTGGGTTATCACCTCGAGGGCCACCTGACGCGTCCGTCCCATAAAAGATAGAGGAATCGGGGAGATGCTCACCCTCGAAGAGACCTTGGAACCTGGTACGTAGCTGTTCAGGAGTCAGGGTTGGGTGGGGGCCGTAGCCTGCTTCGGCACTAGTCCCCTGACCCTAAAACACTCCGGTGGATTCGGGTAAAGTGCATCCCAGGCCGGGTCAGGGCCCAGGTCCTGAACCGCCCACCGAGGGCAATCATGGAGGACGTGTTGGAGTGTGTTTTCCGCTCCGCAGTGCGGGCATTGGAGGTCCCCTCCGTGGTGCCGGATGGCCCCTTGACATAGCATGCGGATGCCCGAGGCTTCCAGAGGCCTTTTGCTTGCTTGCTTGACCAACCGCCTTGGCACCGTCCAGTCAATGCCTTCCGCGCACCCTTCGGCAGCCTCTTGGGCTGAGATGCGTTGCCACCTATCATTGAGTAGAGCTTTCTTTAACCGGTGAGCGACAAGCAGGCCTGCACCCGGCTCGCCCCAGGGGATTGTGATCGTGGCATCCTCCCGATGCCGTTCATACATATCCGGCGCAGAGAAACCCATGTCCAACAGGTAGCACTGCATAGCTGCAATGGGCCCCGCAGCGAGGCCCCACCGGTTCTTGGATTGCTTGAGGCGTGCCCACGAAGCAGCCCAAGTACGGCGGATGATGCTAGCTGCAGGGAGATTCCTCACCACGCATTCCGCTAGCATAGTCCAATGTTCCAAAACAAGCTTGCAAAGTGGGTCGCCGGAGCCTAGTTTCTGCAGCCTCTTTTGTGTTTCCTTGTCGGTGCACACAAAGGCTGATTTGGAAGAGCTCAGCACAAGCTGCTCCTGACCCAGGCTGGCTCTGAGCATTCTGAAAACCTTGACACTTTTGGCTGCTACTCGGTCCGGGTCCTTAGCAACCATATCAGCCGAGATGTCATCTATCCAAGTATCCAGGTTGGAAGCCAAACCTGACTTGGAAACTTCCTCACAAGGAGAGTGCAAGGCAAGTTTGCTTAGGCTGGGTGCTATCGGACACCCCGCCACGACTCCTTTTACGGAGTACGTGGCGGGTGAGTGGCCAGAGTCTGCACAAATGACCCTTGCCCCACGATAGATCTGAATCGCAATGTTCAGAAGAGTGGCTGGGTACTCCAGCTCGTATGCAGACTGCTCCAATTTGTGGTGGGAAATGGTCTCATAGAAAGTGGTAAGATCCAGAAATAAGGTTATCCGACACTGGCCGTTGGCCTTGGCCAATTCCGCCTGGAATAAGCGGTGGATCGACACGCTGAGGCATGTATTGCCTGGTCTGGCAGCATCCCATGGTGCCCTGACAGCGTACTTTTGGAGCCAAGCCGTAACCAGGGAGTATCTCACCTGGAGCCAGGCTTTGTAAACCACGTCACACAGGCCAATGGGGCGTTCGATGTCTGCTTTTTTCGCCAACATGGCGAATTTGACAATGCGCCACTGGCCCGGAGCCTTCCCAGTTTGTTCCATATCATTCAAGAAATTGGCCAATGGTTGGAGCGCTGCAGTTGGCAACTGTTTGAGCATGTTGTTATGCCAGCCGTCTGCACCAGGAGCTTTGTTAGGCAGACATTGGAACTTCGTGCGAAGCGCTTCCGGAGAGATGGGCTTAAGCCCTTGAGCCTCTTTGATCGCACGTTGCCTTAGCTCGGGAATGATTCCTTCCCCGGGCGTGGCCTTGCTGTCCCAGATTGCTGACCACTGCTCGTATCTCAAATACGGTCTTAGGGCAGACTCCTTGCCTCTGAACGGCCGCACGAGGACTTGTTCTTGCGACCTAATCGCCTTATATAATGGCCTCATTCCTTTCAGCATCGCGCCTTCGACCCAGGCTTGATAGCTACGGGAGTCTTCAAGGAGGTGTTCTTTCTGCGCTTGGGTAGCAAAACTCCTAAACACCTCCTCTCTTTCCTTTGTCAAGCGAGGGCCTTCAGAGAAGTGGCCGGGAAGCTCAGCCTTCAACTCCTGGGTTGCCACTGGCTCCACATCCCCAAATTCCAGCTGCTGCACCACTTTCGAACAAGTGGAGGTTCCAACCTTTACACCAGCTTTGGCAACAGCATTGAGCCACGATTCAATCCTCAACCAAAGGCCAGCCTGGTGCGAGAATGTACGATAGCTCGATCTGACCTGGGGATCTCGCCAACTTCTGGAATGAAATCGAACTGCCCCTGGGGAGATGCTCACCCGGGTACATCGCATCCTGACACCACCTGGTCAAGACGCTAAACTCCCTCGACATGGGGTCTTCTGTGAAATCCTGCCCCACAACCTTGATAGGGATGGGATCTGGCTTTTGGGCTGCCAAACTGGCCTCTGGCTCAGCTTCCTTGACTGGGAAGTCAGGGAGCCTCAAGGCCTTATCCTGCTGCCCAGGTATAAGGAACTCGATGCGAAGGCTAGCATGAGGGCGGTGCGGGGCGCTCCAGTCCAGGCCCACAGTCATAAGCCCTGCAATGGCGCTGCTTGTGATAATGAAATCCAGCTCGGAGCCGCCATGAGTGGTGGGAACACCTACCGAATGAATCTGCCCGCCTAGTTCGCAAACCAGTCTCGAGTCAGCGAGTTCCCGGGGGCTGAGATTGAAGTCACCTCCAACCAGCCATTGTCCCGGGTGTTGCTTTAGCACCGCCACCAGCTTTCCCAAAATTTCTGCGTTCGGATGGCACTGCATGGGGGTAGAGTTTTTTAAATAGATACTGAAGAGGAGAAGGCTCACTCCTCGGATTCTGATTTCAACAGCACAGAACCCGCACCCTTCAACGGTGAAGTGATGGACCACACGGCTTTGAAGATGGGTCCTACTGAGCACTGCTACTCCCGCGTGGGTGCCTCTTTTGGCTGTGGGAGATGCCTCACCACCCACCATCTCGAAACCAACCTTGTGCATGGCAGCCACTGCATCTTGAAGGGCCCCTGGGCGGAGGTGGGTTTCCTGCACAAGTATGATATCGTCCTTTTGGGCTTGCAGCCAATCTTGGGTTTCCTTCCTCCACTGAGTGATGTTGGAACATCGGATACTACACTTGTAGTACCCTTGGCTGCTAAGCGATGCAACGATGTCAGTGACCGCTAGGGTGAGAATCTCATACCCTTCAGTTGCTCCTTCACTGACTTTGTTCAGGAGCTGGTAGGCTGTCCAACCTTCCAGCCCGTCTTCGTTGTTTTTCACACCATCCTGCTCTGCAATGTCAATAAGCAGTGCTTCCTCGGCTTCTGGTATGTTCTTATGACACTCCAGCACCTTAAGCAACTGCTTCCACAACGCCAACCGTTTCTTCACCTGTCTGCGCTGAACCTGCTCTGGAGTGGGCTCCTTGTTCAGGTGTTTGCTCCGAACCCTCTTAGCCTTCTTGGGAGGGCTGGAATCCACAAAACTCGACGGAAAAAACTGCGATCCTGACAAGCGCCCAGGTGGACGCCGGGACCGTGTGACAAAACCTGAGTGGGAAGACCTTCCACTCTCAACATTGCTGGGATTTGGCGGCGCACCTGATGCCGTGCTCTCCTCTGGCTCCTGAGTGGAGGGTCGATACGCCTGTTGGGCCGTACCCTCCGTGCGGAGGCCATGGTAAGAAGAGAAGCTCGATCTTACCTGCCCGGCATCTTTGGACTTGCGCTTCCTCCTAGCGATTGTTTTCCAGGCCCCATCCTGGTTTAACATATGGCTTGCTGGAGGCTGGTGCGACTCATCCATAGACTCGCTACTCAGCCCACTGTGCACAGCATGAAAGCATGTTTACTTGCTGTAATGCACAGAGAGGCTTCAGAACCTCGCGCCGTGAAGCGCAAGGACACCACCAACCTTCGGGCCGGAGTGTCCGACTTTATTCGACGATGTCCCTTAGATTCCCGCTTTTGGATGTGTTTCCACCTGAGGTCGATAGGGAAGAGTCCCAGGCAGCAAGCAGCAGTGCGAAGCAGGCTCCAACGTTGGAGGCCGCTTTATCTTCATCCAGTGAGTCGGAGCAGAATGCTGGCACTTCAGATTCGGTCCGGCGTTCAAGTGGGGCCATCTCAGCCACTTTCCAGCCTGAGGAGTGCGATGAATTCTTGTTCTTGCAGGAGGCATCAGGTACAGTCCATGTGGCAGCGCCTCAGGAAGGTGCATCGGAAACGGCGGCTTGTGCTGAAGGGCACACTGCCCACCTTAGGCCACGGTGTGGAGCCTTGGCCAAGTCTTTTGCAGTTTTGACAACCGTGCCGGTAGGAGCACGCCTTTGTCGCATGCAGGCGAGTTTTGGAGCTTTAGAGGCTGTTCGGGCAGCACGAGAAAAATCAAATCGCCATTGCAGACTTGTAACACTGAAGCACTTGGGAAATGCAGCATGCAAGATTGGCACTGAACATGTTTCGTGGCAGCTTTAACGGGCCTTCAGTTCGGCGGCGGGATCAAGCTGGTCTTGACGAGCAGGCGGGGAAACTGCTTTCCATTCGTGTCAAGATTGGCCGGGGGTCGATCCGCACGTGTGTGCTCGCCGCGGCAATGCGGCGTTTCGGTTCGATATGGGCTTGCCGATTTGGTGCTGGGTTTCAGTCGGCTGCATTATGTGGGTCTGAAATACAGGCTGTGGAAAGGGCTGTGCATGGTTCGTGCAGCAGGTGTAGGCGCCAGTGCTGGCAGATCTGATCGCACGTGTGCCAGTCCGCCGTCCAAGACGGTCGTGAAATGCGGAGGGCGGCCCCTCCCTAGTTGTCTTACCTTCAAGGCAAGTGCATGGCGATTGCAGCCAGTGGGATATGATACTACCGCGCATAAAAGTCCTTCGGAAACCTGGCAGCCGTGCGGCCAATCGCACGTGTGTGCAGCGGGCAAGGGCTACTGCTGCCGATCGTTCATCGATTGCAACTTGAACCTGTCTGTCTGCATCTTGCTTCAGGCTTCCATGGCTAACGTGGATGCGGCGCTTTCGGAGCTTGCCGTTGCATGCAGAGTGCCGCAGGAGTTCCACTTCGTGCTGGATGGTTATGACGTGCCGCTGTTTGGTTGCCTAGCAGCCTCACCCTCGGAAGTGGATGCCTCAATCGAGATACTGCTGGAGGGGGCCGCCTTGCCGGCGGAATCCACCGAGAGACTACGTCTTATGTCATCCTTCCGCCTGCTGTTTCAGAAGTGTCAGTCTGTGACAGCAACTGGATCGAATGCGGCGAGCGCGGCCCATGCAAGCTGACATCCAATGCAGCCTCGTGGGTCGACTCTTTCCCGGCTAAACTGACAGGTGAGGAGGTGGTGAAACTCCGCCTTGGAGAGGTCTTGGACGCGGATAACACCCCAGGTCACCGGCTCTTGGCGTTGGCCGCAAAGCTTGTGAAACCAGGTGAGATGCGGTGGGTGGCTTGGAAGCATCGGATGAGCAAATCCCAAGAGGAGTCTTTCGCTCTGCGCAGGCCGGCAAAAATCTCGAGGTTGGAGGAGCTGGTGTACGACGAGATACCTTCAAGAGAGCTACCACAAGGCCAAGTCGGCATGACTTTCCTGCAGGGCATATTGGGTCTCTTGTGCATATCACTCGCCTTCGTTAAGGGGGCTCACCTCCAGAGCCTTCGGCTTTACGAGCGCAAGTTCATCCGCCTGGCCTGCCAGCGGCATGGGCATCTTCGGGGCTCCGAAGCCCGAATATGGAGGAGCTTCAGGCGGCAGACAAGCACATTTGGGGCTTGGTCGCGGATCTAGTCAATGTCCACAAGTTGAGCCTGAATGATGCACTGACGGAAGTAGTGCAAGTTCGCGGTGACTTGGCTGCCATGTTGCAGCCTCGCAGCCAAATCTTGAAGATCAACAGGCAGCTTTTCAAAGGCAATGGCAAGGGGAAAGACTCCCTGGGTGGTAAGAACGGCAGGGGCAACAAGGGCAATGGCACCAATAGTCAACGCTGGATGCTTTCTTACACAGACTCCAAGGGTCAACGCAAGCAATTGTGCCGTGGTTACAGTTCTCCAGACGGATGCAAGTTTGAAAACTGTAAATTCGAGCATCTCTGCCCGGTTCCAGGCCCAGATGGAAAGCCGTGCCTAGGGAAGCATCCTGCTTTCCAACACCGCAAAATCTGAAGGTCACAGTCGGTGGCGGAACACTCCGATGTGCGGACTGGTCGATCCAGCGAACTTCCGTCGCCGACTTCAGCGGATATTTCTTGGGAAGCTTGCTTGGCTATCCTGCAGACTCACTGTTTGGGTGATGCTCCTCTCTATCGAGATACAGTTCTTGCAGGTGCGCGATCTCGAGCACAATATTTCAATTTTGGGGCGAGAGCGGGCTCCAATGCGGGGCTTTGCAAAGGCACGGCAGAAAACGCAGAAGTCGTTGAGTACCTGAACATTTTCCTTCGGCAGATTTTTCCAGATGGCACATGGTCCAGTTTTTGTGTCAGTCACAATGAGTTCGCTCACATCCACGTGGATAAGAACCTTCCGGGATCTTTGAATTATTCATTCAGTGTTGGAGCCTTTGAGAAAGGCGGTTTGTGGGTGGCTTTGCCGCCAGACGAACTTCCTCACCTTCCGCGAGTGCCTCCGCCGGACACATCAGCTGATGCCTCGCTGTTGGGTTGCATAGTTCAGACCAGGAGGTGTGGTTTTTCTTGGGACGGCCGCATTGCTCATTGTTCGGAGCCATGGGTTGGTGACAGATGGGTCGTGACGGCCTATACTTCTTGCACTTGGGGTTCAATGCCTGAACCGGATCTTCGCTCTCTACGTGATCTTATGTTTCCGCTACCAGGCGACGCCATGGAGATCGATGCGGTGGGGTGTGAGTCTCGGGCTGCCAAAATTGACCAGGCACAGCTGGGGCTACCGGTGGCAGTCATGCCTCCCGACCTTGATGCAATTCGCGGAAATCTTTTTCTGGAGATCTGTTCTGGGCCAAATCGGCCTCTGTCTGCTGCCCTCCTGGCGAAAGGTGTTTCAGTGCTTTCGATCGACATTCTTTTGCATGAAGATCACAACTTGTTGAATGACTCCACTTATGACAGTCTCATGCGGCTATGCTACAGCGGTCAGGTCAATCTGGCACACGCCTCTCCACCTTGCACGGAGTACTCCAGGCTGGAGCTCCGGGCAGATGGTGGCCCCAGGGCGATTCGCACTCCAGAACACATGTCTGGCGTTCCTGATTTGAGTCCGTCAGAGCGGCAACGTCTGGAGCAAAGTAAAAAAGTGCTGGTTCGTACAATCAATTTGCTGCTGGCAACATACTGTGCTGGAGGGCATGTTAGTCTGGAAAACCCTTTGAACAGCATGGCATGGTTGGAGCAGGAAGTCCGAGAATTTCTGCAACACATCAACGCGGACCTGAACTGTGTGGCTGCTTGTGGCTACGGTATGGATGTACTGAAGCAGTGGTGTTTCGCATGCAGTTTTCGGGATCTACAGCAGATTGCATGTAGTTGTCAACACGATCCTCAGTCGCATGCACAGGTGGCAGGGATTGTTGACAAAGACGGCGTTTACGCTTCAAGAGCCACATCGGAGTTTCCGGTACAGCTCGCACAGGCCTATGCAGAAGCTGTTCTTCCTTTGTTCGAGACTTCGAGCAAGCCGTACACCATTTCTCTTGAACAGGTTAGGTTTCTTCGAACTCACAAAACCAAGGAGGAACTTCCCCGAAGCACACAGGACGGAGGTGGGATCTACTCAATGCCGGATTGGAGTTTTCCTCCGAGCGGATGCAAGGACCTCCTAGGGGGAGTGCGTAAGCAGCTTGTGGAGTACCTTTTCCACATCAGGGCCCCATTGCGATTGCGAGCCCATGTGGAGTCCGAGAGCGAACTCCCGCTGTTTACAGAGACTGAGGTTCGGCAGTTCAGGGAGATCTGGCAGCAATGGTTCATGCAACAGGGTGTGCAATCAATCGATTGGAGCGTGGCTGAGCATCAGCCTTACTCGCTGCTGGCTTTACAAAGCCTCTCTCGAGCCTTGCAAGATAGAGATGATGCACTCTTTCCAGCATTGATTGCGGGTGTTCCCACAGGCTTCTTCTCGGATATCCCGTCCAGTCACGTTTTCGTTCCGAAGCACAAGGATGACTCTTCAGAAACCCCGGCGGAGCTCGTGATCTGTGATCGCAACTGGAAGGGGGCCAGAGATAATCCTAAAATCCTTTCGGAATTGATTGATAAGGAGATTTCAGAGGGTTTTCTTGAAGAGCTTGATCTTGCTTCAGCTCAGCAGTGTTGGGAGAACATCGCAGTTGCCAAGCTCAACGTGGTTTTGGCGGACAATCGCAAGCCGCGCTTAATCATGGATGGGACGGTTTCTGGAGTCAACTCCTCTTGCTTCTTGAATGATCGAGCGATACTGTCTGCCGCTTAAAGACGTGCGCTCTGCATTCCCACTGCGCATGAACAACGAGGACTTGTCAGCTTTCAGCTTGGACATTCGCGCGGCTCACAAAACGATCCGCATTCGGGAGAAGGACCGGGGATTGGCGGGGATCAAGCTTGAAGACGGACGACACCTGTGGTACCGAGTTTGCCCATTCGGCACAGGTTTCAGTGCTCTGTGTGGGCACGATTGTCTGCTTTCATGATCCGAACCTTTCATCTCTTGATCTGGTTGTGTCACGCTTTAGGCATCTTTGTCGACGACCTATTGCTGTGGCAAGGTGACAAAGCAATCGAGATTTCAGGCTGCCTCATCCTCAGCTTTTGCCAAGCATACAATGTGCCGCTATCGTGGCACAAACTGCAGTGCGCGTATAGAGTGAAGTGGATAGGATGGCTATTCAATTTCAGATCAGGGACTTTCAGTCTGCCAACCGACAAGATTGAGAAGATTCTTCGTTCAGTGCGGGTTGTTCTGAGGCCAGGCAACGTGGATCGCTGCGATCTTGAAAAAACGGTGGGTTTGCTTCAGTGGGTAAGCCAGATTTCTCTTGAACTCCGCCCCTGGATGGCATTCTTGTATTCGGATCTGCGTAGACCGGTGGCAACAAACCATCATGTGGATTCTGGCGAGTGGGGCTCATTGATAGGTGTCTCCGGCCGGGCGGCCTCGGGGCCCTCGGCCCGTCGTGGGGGCGCCGGCCGTCTGGTGACTTTCCTGGCGCTGCGGACTGCAAAAGATGTAGAACCTCGTGGCGCCTGCAGGATGAGCTGTACGGGTTCCGAAGGCCTCGCTGATGTTAGCAGGGCTGTTGCAATCGTAGGGTTAGGGGCAGCTGCTCGCCGCTGGGGAGACCGCACGGGTGGTTGAGGGTTGCCAGACACAATGGAGTCTTTGGGAGCGACAGCTCCCAGGGCATTGCTATGCTTGACTGCGCCTGCTCCACCTCCCTGGGGTTTACCCGGCTTGCAGCGGATGCGTCCGCCAATCGGGGCGCTTGATTTGGCTGAGGGTCGGGGCGCCATTGAACTGAAAGGACCATGGGGTTCTCTTGCAGCCTAGCAAGGGTCAAAGAGTGCCAAAGAGCCAAACTACGGAAGCTGGCTGAGGTGCCGACGAGTCCTCAAGCGCCCGCGGCCTTCCCCCCCTTTTCCGCCCTCCCCTTCCCGTTGCTACCGGCCGTGCCCTCCTAATGTTGAGCCGATACGCTGCTGCTACCAGCCCAGACGTGTCAAGAGTATTGCAGCCCGTTCAACAATTAAGTTGATGCAAACAAAGTGTACATAAAGATAACAATCAAGGCAATTGTTGCGAGCAACACTGGCTTTTGGTGTTCGCCACCTATGAAATAAAAGAGGTCCGCGACCTCGGGAGTGCTGTCAAAGGCTGTCCGGATGTCGTTGGACCCAGCATTGGACGCAGAACAAAGCGAACCAATTGCTGTCAGCAAGAAGCTGGGGAACCATCTCAGACGCCAGAAGTACCGCCTCGTGGTGCGGGACCGTGTCCACACAACGCAGAAGAAGGGCGGCCACACGGCACGTGTCACGCCCGTAGCCAGAGCGGTAAAACGAGCTAGCCACTAAAGGTCGCAAATCGCTCAACTGCATTCCCAAACCGGCTCCATACTCTAAAAGCAATGCCACAAGTGGGGCGCTGCGCAGCGCCGCCGCGACATGTAAGGGGGACAACCCGCGGTCACTCGTGGAGTGGACGTGAGCTTGCCCTTCTAGTAGCTGGACGACTTCTGCAGAGGAGCCAAGACGAATGGCATACTGTAAAGGGACAGTGGGACGGGCGCGAGAGCTCAATGCCGGAACATTTGGCGAGGCTCGTGCAACCAGCAAGGTCGCCAGAGCGCCGCCAAGCTGGCGACTGATAGCATAGTAAACAGGAAGGCCAAATTCGCCCCAGACCGTGGGTTCCTGTAGCTCCAGCAAGCAAGGGTGCAGTTCCAGGGTGCGCATCGCCGTGGCGAGACTGCCACTGGCCAGGGCACGCCGGAGGCCTAAGGCCTGTGAAGGCCGGGTGAACCGGTATACGATGGAGACTTCATCGTCCGATTCATGGGCGACTAGGCCAGCCATCGGCCATTGTAGGCAATGTAAGATCAGGCAAACGCACCGTTTTCAACGGAGGGTATATACCTGCCGCACGAGGGACTTCATATCCATAGAGGCGGAAGGCACGGAGGACTTCTTCATCCACCCACTGACAAGCAAGCTCAAAAGGTGAAATCCCGCGTAAACTGCCATGACGCGCGGCTGTGTGAGGGCATGCTTGCGCATTGAGCAGTGCATTTACCATAATACGATGACCGCGGGCAACCGCCAGAAGCAAGGGGCTGTAACCAGTTGGCGGATCCAGTGCTGCTTTCGCTTGCAAAAGAAGGGCAGTGCACGAGTGCGCATTAGCAAGATGTTTATTATTTTGCCTCCTAGGAAACCCCATGCATTTTATCATGATTTGCTTTATCGTATTTCATGCACTCATGTGTTTCACATCGTGATTGCGCTATACTCCGCAGGCGTCTTTGAGGATTCAAAACATTTTCATGGTAGCGGAGCTTGGGAAAGCCCAAGCTTCGAGACACGTCTCGGGGCTCTCTTGCACATTGCGTTGCGAAGTGCGTTCGGGGAGCTCAGGCTTTGGAAAGTTTGTCCTGGACCTTTGGGGATTTCTGTTTCCGTTTAGGATCTAGGTAGGATCGCAATCCCGGCGCAGACCGGACGAGCCATTGCGTGCTCAGACAGAGCAAGGCCACGGCGTCTCTTGCTGCAGTAGAGGAGGTGAAGGAAAGGTTGCACAGCCTGTACGTTGAGCAGCTTTGTGAACGGCCCCGTCCCGAGGGCAGATCCGGTTCTTCTTGGGATAAGATCTTGTCAACCTATAGGGTAGCCTTTGAGCGGAGACTTGAAGAGTTGCAGACGGTTGAGTGCGTGTGGAATTTTGCGAGCAAGTGTCTGAAGAAACAGCATTTGAGAGAAGTTTTTGAGGCATTCGCACCTGAAGACGTTGCTGAGAATTGCATTTCAGAGGAGTTGCAACAAGCTTCGTTACACCCGGTCGAGGAAGGCCCCAACTTCGAGCGCGATCTTCTTGCGAGCAGTGTTGAGTTGCAGGAGCTTTTGAGAGCAAGTGCTGATTGTGAGCTGCCAAGTTCTTCAGCACTGCCAAAGCGTGCATTCAAGCGCCGATTGCAGCAGCAGAGTTCTGTGATTGATTTGGATTAATTTCCTTGATTTCTTGATCAGACAGAGAAGAGATGGAGCATCAAGGGCAGAATGTTCAGCAGGGGCCGCAGTTGCCCCAGCAGCCCCTAGGGAGTGCAGGAGTTGAGCCGCCAGTGGCCCAGAACCCGTTCTAGGTGGGCAAGCACAGCAGCCAGCGCCACAGCTGGTGCAGATTGACATGACACAGATGCAATTGCTTATGGCACAGATGGTTGAGACGGCGCAAGCAGCGTCGCAGGCTGCTCAAGCAGCCGTTGCCCGGCCCTCGAGCAATTTGACTTCAGGATTTTCAGATGCGAATAAGATCCTTAATCGACCGTCGGAGTTTGGGTCCGGAGTGCACGACAACGACCTTGCAAATTGGTCTGAATGGAGCCACTCATTCAGAACATGGTTGGTTTTCGCAGAAAGTCAGTTCGAACAGGACTTAAAGCTTGTGGAGGATAACTTGCAGGGCCCTGTTGATCTGACTGGGGCTTCGCCTGATCGCATTGCAAGGTCTCAGAGGCTTTACGCGATCCTTGCAAGCATTCTGCGTTCGAAGCCAAAAGCGATCTTGCGTCAGGTCGTCAACAGAAACGGCCTAGAAGTCTGGCGGGTGCTCACCAATACCTTCGCACCCAAATCGAAATTCAGAGGACTCGCTCTCTTGAACGCTCTTTTGACGCTCCCGAGCTTCGGGAAAGATCGCAGCCTGCGAGAACACATCCAAGGCCTCGAGAGAATAGCTGAAGAATATCAAAGGGTCACTGGACAATATCCTGGGGAAGAGGTTATGCTAGGCACACTAGTTCGGTCCCTTCCCTCTGCGATAAAACAACACGTTCAACTTCAGATGACAGACTCCAGTAGTTACCAAAGCATCAGGGACTACGTTCTGGGGTATGAAGTTACGACAACGTCTTGGACTCCAGCCAAAATGCACCAAGCTCTTGGTGTAGTGCCTTTACCCAGTGCTGTCGAGCAAGGCCCAGTCCCGATGGAGGTTGATGCACTTCAAAGAAAAGGGCCAAAAGGCAAGGGCAAGAAGGGCAAAGAGCAGAAAGGCAAAGGTGGACAGCAACCGCAGAATCCGTATGGTGGCAAGGGCAAGGCCAAAGAAGGCAAGCAAAAGGGCAAGAAGGGCAAGGAGCACAAAGGCAAAGGTGGACAGCAGCCGCAGGGTGCCAAGGGCTCTAGGGCAAATGTAGTGTGCCACAATTGCCAGCGCAAGGGTCATTATGCTAGTGAGTGCTGGCGTCCACGTGTGCAGCAAGTCCAGGCACAGGGTTCGGACGCAGCGTCCACTGTTGCGCCTAGCACTGTTGGTCCTTCAGCATCGCAAGTCGCTGGCAGCGCTGCTACCACCACGAAGCGCGTTGCTAGAGTTGAGATAGACATGACTTCCAGTGCGTTTCAGGACGATGCCGAGATCAGCGGTCACTTGTGTGTTTTGACAAAAGTGTGTCCTGAGGACCCAGCTGCAGCTACTGCCCAGCCGAGTTTTGCTTCACTGTGCAAGTCTTTGGCGTCTGCATGCGTTGACCCTGTGAAGCCACATGTACTTGTGCCAGTGCCCGAGGCTGAAATGTTTGACATGTCATATTCGGACGGTGATTGTGTCTGGACAGTGCCAGATGAGATGCATGGAGCCACATGTGTTGGTTGGTTGAGCAGTGCACGTGATTCTGAGTATGTGAAGTGCAAGGCGCCAGCCCGCAACCGTGCAAGGCCAGGCAGGCGATCACGGCCGCCACTGCAGTGCGAGGCAATGGT